GGATGGTCTTTGGACAAGTCTTTGTAGGCCTTTTCAGCTGCACCATCTGCCCTGCGAGATGCCCGTACCACGAAGGATTGGCTGGAAAGCCAGAGCGTCACAAGCGTCAACCGCATGGCCGTGCTGAACATGACAAAGTTGGATTTTGCACACGAATCGAGATCAGGGATCAACAAATTGAGCCTTGTGGATGAATCAGCGTCTGATCGATTGATATACGAAGAAACGTGGACTTCCGCAAGTCACACCCATCTTTCGGTGGTAACACTCCTTAATTGATACGAGCCAAGAGACTGGCGCCTTCCGCGTCGTCGGCATCTCCTGCGTCGGCCACCACATAGCCCGAGCTGTTGCAGCTCCTGAGCGGAAGGGACATCGCGCACATCCAACAGAAGGGCGAGAGTAGGGAGTTGAGGGTCTTGGAATCCAGCTTGAGTCACCTGGGTGAGAAAAAAGAATCATGGAACAAAACTAGATGGAAACCCGATGAGATCAGAATCCTCAATCATCGGCCGTATGGCACCTCTGCAGCGCCAAGAGTACCAAACATTTGTTTTTCCTTTCTGACTCATTTCTGACGTCTATTGCTGCTATTCCTCATGGTGGGGCGCGCGTGTACATGTGTTACTAAATATGTTGCATGGCTCCAAAATGATCAACGTTCACACAATGGTCAAAAGGGCCTCTTGACACCCGGAGAAGCCAACACAATACCTGTGGTTGACTAACTGGGATCTCAGCGAGCTGCGAACTTGTCACACTGTCGGCAAATGCACTTGCCAAGTAGACGCACTGGCGCCCCCCAAAAGCCAGCTTTGAAGACCCCCTTGCTAGCACTCGCACCACATCCGCAGCGTCCGAGGGACAGAACACCAAGTCTTTGCCGGTTTTGGGCCCCTTTCGGTATCAAATGGTATCAATGTTCCCACACTTTGTCACCATTTCCATTCTGGAGGACTTTGATTTGATGATGGGATCTTTTTCAATTTTCTCATTCGCAGGCTTTAATGACTGGCGTTGCCATTCCCTGGATGAAGCACTCAACAAAAACACACACCAGGAGTCACAAGACGGGGTGGTTTCTAGTCCCATCCAGTGAGAGGATGATGGCCACCCCTATCCTGGATAGTTAAGCACCCCTTCGTGACTCCTGGCACACGGTCTTTCATTGGAGTCGCCAGACTTCAGCGGAAAGAACCGGTGCCAAGCATCAAACAGCGGAAGTCACCCGTCTCGGTGGCTTCGCAGTCCACGTCCTTCGTCGTGCGGTTCAAGATGACAGGTCGCGGCGGTTCACCAGCCAGCAATTAGCAATTGGGAGCTACGTGGGGCACCCGAAAGAAGTTTGGAAGAAGCGAAAGAATCCAAGATCATCTAAAATCTGCGCTTTGATTAACATGTGTGCCGTGTCACGTGCTGAAACTAAACTGAACGAATATCCGTCTAACTAAATGTTTATGACAAATATGTATATATATAGAGAAGGTTTTCAGGACCTCTGCAGGTGGCGAGTCCACAAATACATTCCATGACGCAAGCGTTTGTTTCCAGCCCCGAGAATGAGCTGAGGTAAAATTCAAGACTCATTCACATCAAAGTGAGGTATAATATATATAAGGTATAGGGACCAAAGACCAAATGCCGAGGTAATGGTCGGAAAACCTCGTGTCAATACCAACTGATTAGCAAACAAATCAACACCAAAAATAAACCATCAACAATCCATTCCATTGCATTTCCACCTGGTTGAGTTCTGGCCTCCTTAAGCTGATTTTTTCCTTGGGCTCCATGCTCGTGAGATTTGAATCTTTGTGACTAATTTCAGCCGCCTCGGTTCGTCTTACCCCCCGCCTCAGAGCACTTGTGGCAAAAACCCTGGGGCATGCTGTCGCACGGCCGACCGCCGGTGTGGTCGGCAGTGCGGTCGGTACTGTGGCTATAGATTGGAACAACCCCTGGACGAATTGTGGCCTAGTAGTCCAGGAGCTGCAGTTTCAGGGCTTAGTTGCTGGCTTCTAGTGTCCCTGCAGCCTTGCTTCGATGTGTTTGCAAATGAATTCGCACTAACATCTGGAAGGCTTGAGGATGCTTGAGGTCTGAAAGCTCTCTCATCTAGCTTTACGTGGAAAATGTGAGGGCTGCCACAGAAAATGGAGACACCCAAGTGCATCTGGTAGTAGGGAAAGTCTCCAAACACTCATGAAAACGATTGGACACACGTGAATTGAACTTCATGTCATGGAAGTTGGCAAGTACTTTGATCTTGCAACTGCGATGCAAGTCCAAGCATTGTCAGCATTGTGGTTGGCTTAAAACCATCTTCTACCTTCCTTGGATTGCTCATCGCATATGACTGAGTTGAACTTATGATTCTCTCAAGGATGACGATGAAAGCATGTGGAAGCACTGATCCTGAAGCATCATTCTCCTCAGCAATCCAACAAGGCTACCTCAGAAAAAATGGAAGAACAAAAAAACGAAAAACACGTGGCCATATGTGGCCTCTGCTTTTTAGACCCTTTTTGTGCCACATTGCGCCACATTGGGCGCGTCATTGCAACCAGGTGGACATAGACTGGCAAAGCCCACGCTGGAGCTTAAAAGGCTCACTTTGGAACCAGCTGTGAGGGTCGGCCCCAAGACCCTCTGGCCATTAGAAATAGCTATATGGGCAGCAACAGTGGATGATGGTGATGGGTAGTAAAGGCCTTGTTCAAGAATCGTGATAATTGTTAACTGACTGTTCCAGGTAATTGGGACAAACCCAATATATACTCTCGTGAATCTACTGAGAATTTCCTTTCAGTGAGTCTCACAGTCTCCCCCCCCATCCATCTCAACCAGGAGCAAGAAAATGACATGGTGCGCAATTTTGTCTATCAGGTGCAGTCCTATGACATATGTAAAACAACATTGACGAACCTGTGTCTGTGTCTTGGAGCTGGGGGCATCCCTCAAACACAAGCCATGCTTCTAGAAAAGACACACCTCTACACTAAAACCAACTGAAACGCGAAACCCCTTTTCAAGACAGAACCTGCTCATCAAGAAACATTACAACCGCATGATTGGGGGCCGTTGCCGGCCCCGGGTTCTACAGTCGAACGGGCGCTGTTGTGCGATGCAAAACGAACCATTCACTCTCAGAAGACGACGGGAATGGTGCTGGAAGAAGAGCCAAATTTTGGAGATACCTCAAAGTCATAAGTCATCATATTTTTTTGAGATACTCCAGCGATCGAATCCACAAACTTGCTTAAAGTATATAGCTTCATCATAGCTTCATCATGTTTCTGCATACTTGGGTCCCTTTGGGGAGTTGTCATGTGCTGGCGGAGCGATAGCATCACCTCTTTGAGATTTGGGGCCATTCACTCTTAGCTGACGTGCTTGTTCATTCGGATGACGTGGCGTTGACGCGAGGCATCCACATGCGCTCAGCCGCCGGAGGTCACAGCGCGTCTCACTGAGCACTCTCAAGATCCTTAGTCCGTATCACGCTGATGCCGGACCATCATTCATTAAAATGACCTTGACCAACATCAGCACCGTTGCAACTACCATCACCACATATCACCACCACCATCATAATCATAAGCATAAGCATACTAGTAATAATCATAATCATCTTCTTCATCACAACTACCACCACCATCTCATCATGATCATCATGGTTATATATTGGTTATCTTGCCAACCCGTGCGCCAGGGAAACGTGCCTTTGATGTTGAGGCACGTGTGCCTGAACAGGACAACTCCTTGCTTTACACCAGTAATGAAGATCTATCCTCAACCTGGCTGCCATTTTGCCGTGATCTTTTCAAGAGGTGTACTTCCGTTTGTGAATAGTCCTTCAGAGTCAAACATGTGGAACAAGTATGACGTCTCATGGTCTTCTGCATTGGTAGGATGCCCGTCTTCTTGCGTGCTCACAGGCATGTAGCCAGCCTGCATGGCCAGAAACGCAGCACAGGAACGGTGCTTGTTGTGGTGCGCTGCTGTCACAAAAGCACACCACAAAGCGACTTTAAAAGTAGACCAATCCAAACCTTTGGTGGTGCAGTAGGGGCTGCATCTGAAATGGCCAAACTGGGATCGTTTCTCGCTACGTACCCTGACTCTTGTCATGAATGACACCAAGGAGACATCAACATGATTGATCCAAATATTTGGAACCATCTGATGCTTACCAAAGACAAAAAAAACAGGCATGACAGCGGGGAGGCAGGGTTTCTGTTCAGAAATGGCCCCGCCATCGTGTTTTCTGGTCTTTGAGGCGTATAGGACGAAATCTTAGATACCCTTTGCATCAAAAAACCTGATCTTCATTCATGCGTCTTCATTTGGACAAAAAACAGATTCTTGTTGACATAGACATGGGAATCCATAAATATGCACAAGAGAATAGAAACGGCCAACATCATAACATCATTATCTTCCATAGTTACTGTTCATGGATAAGAATGATGAGAGGCCCTGGGACAACACCAGTTAGCACCCAGCCCATGGGGCCCAAGCCCACTCTAACCAAAAGGGGAGCACTGCAAGCTCTCGAAAAGGAGCACATAGTATCGTTCCATCTTTGCAGTGATGCAACTCCCCCAATGGTATCACCGTCGCCTCTTCAGGCCGAAAACGTGGCATTCTTCTGCGGAAGAGGTGGAACACCGTCGTGGCGACACCTGGGCTTTTTCCAGCCGAAAAGGATCGGAGCTAGGTCCCCGACCCAGTCGTGGTTAGAACCGAGCTGCGTGTCGGGCCATGCGGCATGGAACCAATTTTGGAGCGTTGCGGGCAACGACAAGGGTCAGGAACCAGCATGACTCGGGGAAGCGGAGACCGAGGGACCAAACCAAGATCTAGCCGTTTTTCCTGGAACATCACTAAAGGCTATAGCCTTTTTCCACCCGTTGGATTTTCAGGTGGGGAAACCAATTTCCAAAAATGGTTAATTACTGTAAGAGGCTATCCATGGTTTTCTACTGACTGGGTAGGTTGCCACGCTCCCACTCCCAAAAGGAAAAGTCTTCGGTCAGTCAGTCAGTCAGTCAGTCAGGGGTTTCTGCTTCGTCCGGATCGAAATGGGCCGACTTTGAAGCACCCATCTCAAGGGGACCCGAGGCTTTGGCAACATGCCGGGGCGGCTGCGGGCTTTGTCCAACATGTATGCAGCCCGCATTTGGCTTCTAGTGACCCCAAGAACCCCACCTTGAAGCAAAGTCCTCTGCCTCCTAGATCCTTTCCTTAATACTCAGGCAGCCTGGAGCACTGGAGCCTGAAGGGTTGGCAAAAACAAAAGCATATCAGTAATCTTCAAAATAAATTAATGAGAACGTCTTGGTAAGTTCGACAATCCACTTCTACAAGTAAGAAGTGCTGTTGTTGTGCCATGCTGAGCCCTCAGCTCAATGCTACGAAAAAGCACTGCGGGGTCGAGATGGCCTGCAGCTGGAGGCAGAAATATGTTGAATTCATCGCGGCGTGTATTCGTAGTACAACTATCCAGCCTAACAAGGACAGTTCGAAGATGTTCGAAGGCTTCTGTCTTTGCTGTAAAGCTTGAGCCCAACCAAGGTTTGCCATCATACAATTCTTCTCTGAGTTCTGCAGGCAGCAGTCTTGTCCCAGTGCAACTCAGCTGTTCATCCGCGTAAAAATGGCGACTAAGCTAGTGGCGAAGGAAAGGAAGGAGCTTGGCAACTCGCCGATGGCCTGCAGCGACTGCCACTCACCGACCTGCCACCCTGTCAAACCTGCCAAACGGCGGTTTATAGACAGAACATCGATCAACCAGGACCATCCTGTCTGGGTGTCCTGGCTAGACTCTAGACCACTAGACCACCCCACACTACCTAGGGACTTAGGGACCTCCAGCCAGGACACCCAAACAGGATGGTCCAGGAACCCATGCAAGGTCCAATTTGGCCCTGGTTTGGGGGGGTTGGGGGCTTGGATTTTCTGATTCACCACCTCCTCGCCACCTCGCCTCCAAGGAGGAGAAATCGGGATGGAAGAGCGTTCGGTTCCTGGATGGTGACAATGACAAAAATGAACGAACCAAGCCCGTTGCAGTTAAAATAACATCATCCTAACAGTTTGACAGTAGAAAGTGGCGCCCAAATCAGATCTCCAGTAGTTAGGAGAGTTGCTCTGCCTGGCATCTCTTCATGTCACACGGACGGCCGAGATGCCCACGGATCTCAATCGGTCCTGGTCATTTGGCCATGCCCACCTTGGACGGTACAACTGCCGATCGGACCCCAAAGCTTTATGATGGCATGCGTCCAGCTGTCCCAGCTGCTCCTGGTTTGGCCAAATGGGCCCCCAGCATGGGAATCAGCCTGGTTGGCCTTCACTCTCCAGGTCACCCCTCATCCCAGGTCACCCTCAACCTGAGGAACGCCCTCATCTTCCTACATCTGGGGCAAAACAAACTCTTCACCCCTGTCAAGCTGATATGTAGAAACATGTAGCAGCGAGCTGTGAACTGGCAATTTCAGGCCCGTCATCGTCCTCTGAAGTTGTTGGCCTGTCAACCTGACTAAGACCTCAAGAATCTTTGGGACGTGACCCTCTTGCAAGAGCTTCAACCACCTACTCTATCCTACTCTCACCCACGTTCTTCATTTCGACCCTCAGGATCACACTAGATATCGCTAGTATATCGCGCTTCGTCACATGGCGCTGCGACCATGTCACATGGTGAAGAGCATTCACTCCATGCGGCCCACTGCGTCCAAGTACAAATCCTGGCATTGGTCGCGCATCAGTCGTGCATTGGTCGCGTCGTTTTGGGTGTCGCGGTCGAGCTGTTCAATGAAGAAAAGCTCCATAGTTGAGGGCATATTCTGTATGCCCTTGGATCTTGGAACACATTCAGTTGAAGCTTGGTGGTTTGGTCCTCGGGGGAAGTATTCTCCCAATCGCACGAAGTAGGGTTCCGAAGAACGTGCTGCTGATATGATCATTCCAACGTGCTCCAAACACATTAATTCAATGAATCGGCCACACAAAACAAGCAAGGCATTTAAGGTGCGTGCCAATT